AAATAGGAGTTGGGGCTATCTATCTAGGAGCATATTGCTATAAATTTCTCTCAGACTGTACTTTAGCTGCATCCTACACATGCTGATGAGCTGTGAATACATGTTAAAATTCCACAGAGGAGTCCTCTTTTACGTTTCCCTGTCATCTATTTGCTACTTTGAAGGCTTTCAATTACTTTTCATACATTTGGGAGCTTGGCAGGCATATTTGATATTGATGTCCTCATGGTCAAAGAAAACTGAAGTTATTTACAATTTAAAATTTTTTTGATGTATTGATATTTTGCCATTAGAAAATATTATTGTCTCTGGTAACATCTTTTTCTATTTTACATATTTGTATAACTTTTCCAGATTTCTTTAAGTTACCATTTGTACAATATGTAAAAAATACATATTTTTTAATCCTTTTACATTCAATTCATATGAACTTTATAGTTCGGATTCATTTTTTGTAGTGTAGTTGGATTTTGCTTTTAAGAATCCAATTTGACAGTAGTTATCTTTAAAAAATATTTAAATTATATTCATTTTGATTTTTAATGTGTGAATACATTGCCTGCATGCATGTCTGTACAACATGTGGATTCCCATGCTCTACAGGGAAGGGCATCGGATTCTCTGGAGCTGGGGTTACAGAGGGTTGTGAGCCACTCTGTGCGAGCTGGGAGTTGAATCAGGATGCTCTTGGAGAGCAGCACATGTTCTTACGCACTGAGCCTCTCGAGCATCATGCAGGAGTTATATTTTAATTGAGGTGTTCATGCTTTTCACGTTTAATGTGTTATTAATATTTTGGGTTGGAGTCCGCCATGCCAACACTGTTTGCATAGGTGAAATGGCTTTGTCTCCTGTTTCCTTTCCTCTGCTTTCTTTTCCTATTAACTGAGTATCTTCATTGTCATGATGTTTGCTTTCTGCACCGTTCTCTGAGGGATGTTCTCAGTGATGTTGGGGACTGGGATCCCTCCCTCATCTTGGTATGCCTGACTCTTAGAACAATGTCTGACACATGTGAGCAGCTCAAAATATCAATAAAATAAATTGGCTAGGACACTTAACCAGAACATGTTTAATCGGAAGTGCCTTAAGTAATAAGAATGTATGTTATCTCACTTCAACATTATTCTGGAGGTTGATAGTTTTGGGTCAGCAAATGCAATGTCAAAGCTCTGAGTTCCTCGAAGGCTGTGATTCACTGGATGCTCAGCTACCTTATCTCTTCACATGCTGAGAGTGAGGTGCCATAAGATTGACAACTAAAATAAGGAATCTAAAGTGTTCTCATGAAGCACACTGTTCTTCTCATGCATATTCTGTCTTCTGTGGACCATTTCGCTGGCTAAAACAAGCAGAGGTGAAGCGACCTGGTCTGCTTTGTAAGAGTTTACAAAGGGGTCAGATTTACCTCCAGGATCCACACGGTAGACATGGAAGTGGGCTGACTCAGATTTTCCTGATGCTTTCTGGGATATACCTCAACTTTTGAGCTGAGGCTATGGGCTTCTAGGACAGCCCCCGCCATGACCAAGCACAGCTAGTTTGTCCAATGTAAATGTAAATATTTCCATGGGAGAGGTCGCTGCACACAGCTTCCCATGGGGCTGGCTGAGGGTTTCCTAGAGCCATGCCGTGTCCCGAGTCCCTTCTGCTTCTCCTTTCACAGGAGTCAGGCCTGACCACAGTCTTCAGGGCCAGTCTCTACCTGTCCCTCTTTTCTTTGCATTAAGTGTCACCTCTGGTAATTTTCATGTACTTCTAATCCCATATCCTCAAGGACCTAACTGATTTTATTTTATTTTTTTACTTTTGGCCTCAAAGGGTTCTCACTTTGCTTCTTTAACAGCTAAGATTGGGTACCCCCACCTAGCTCTAAACAACAAATCTGGTTTCAAAGGCTAGAGAATGTTTTTCACAAAGCATGGCTGGGACTCTGCAGGGTAGCTTTAGGCAACCCCAATTTGGGAAGAGTAGAGAGGATTAAGTAATCAGTGGTCTGACCTTGGGAAAGGCCTCTTCTTTACAAGGGGCAATTCCTCCTGTACAAGTTTGAAGCTTCTCTCTGCACCACACAGGGACAGGGGATGGAGACTTGCCTGATGGGTAATTTGGAAAGAATAATCAGATGTGAAGGATTTGGTGCTCTTGGCTTCCCTGGGTTTCCTGCAGGTTCTCGTCCCACATTGCCCATGTGTTGGGAAATGAAATCCTGGCGGCTAGTGGGTAGGGTTTTTTTTTTTTTTTTTTTGTAACAGTGATAGAAACTATATGTATTAGCTCAGTACAAGTGCCCCACCTGACAGCCACACTTCCTGTCTGACCTGCTGGTTAACTGTGGCCACGTTACTAAGTCAGTGGGACATGAGCAGACACAAAACATGTAATTTTAAATGTCATCTATCATACTGTTTTCTTTAAATTCTTTTTATTTTATGTGTATGAATGTTTTGCCTGAATGTCTGTCTGTGCACCACATATGTGCCTAGTACCTATGGAGGCCAGAAGAGGGCATCCAATTCCCTGGACTGGAGTTACTGATGGTTATGAGTGGCCATGTTGTGGCTGGAAATCAAACCCAGGTAGACGGGCAGCCTTTACTCTTGGCCACAGGTCCATCTCTCCCACCTGTTTTGTTCCTCAAATAGTCCAGAGCCTAAGTAGGGTGAGAAGTTTATTAGATTTATTTCTCAAGACCTGTGTGTGGGTTGAATAGACACTTGGCATAGATTTTTTTTTTAAATGCTTTGTCTCCTCCTTGAGGGTGGGAAGCCAAAGGCAATCATCACTCTGGTGTTGGTTTTGATATTTCTGAACCCTGCACAATACAGAGTCTGGCTCAAAGTGAGTAACTGGAAAACTCAGATCACCCTGCTCTTGAAGAATCAGCCTAGACCAGCCTCCTCCGAGTGCGAGGTAAGGAAACGCTCTGGATTTTCCTATCAGAGGCCAGAGCAGTAGTGAGAGTCTATTTTACTTCAGTCTTCACTGGAGGCTGAGCCAGAGTCTCTGAGACAGAATGGATATCTGTATCCCCAACTCAAGGTGAATGGAAGGCCCCAGGAGTCACCAAAAGAGAAGGAGATAGAGTTGTAAGGTTGCAAACAGAGTTATAATCCCCCTGTCCTCCATAGCTGGGGACCTCTCTGCAGTAGAGACGTAGGACCCAGTTGCCCTCAGCCATCAGAGTCAGGGCTAGATAGGAGTTCTGGGGAAAGTTTGCTGTTGGGAGCAAATGTGGATAGAGATTCAGGTGCTGCCTTCCCCCACGGGACAGGCTGGTGAGCCCAGTGTGCCTGTCCATGCGTACTCACTGATGGGCAAGTGGATGTGAGCTTCCTAGGCCAGGATCTGGCCTGAAGCCATCACAAAGTGCTTCTGTACTCTTCTAGGGCAGTTGGAGCCAGCATGTGCACCTCTCGGGCCAAAGCCATGCTTTCTATGTTACAGGGCATGCTGTAAGCAAAGGCTGCGTTTAATCACCAACTCACAAGTGAGGCTCGTGGCCATGGGGCATCAGTGCCAGTGAATAGTCCCCCCCTGCTGTAATTCAACAGGAAGGAAAGGAAAGGTGAGGATGGCTTTTCCTTCACAGGCACCAGGGAGGCCTGAGCTGAGTATAAAGGGAGCAGGCTTTGGGCCAGACGTGAAGTGGCAATTTCTGTTTAGAATAGACTGGTTCCTGAAATTTGCAAAAATAAAACAGAATGGCCTGACTGGTCAGTAGAGCGACAGGAGAACTAATGGGGTCTGCCTGAGATTATTTTGGTTGTTTGAGATAGGGTCTCACTACATAGCTCACTCAGGTTGGTTTTGTGATCTTCCTGTCACAACTTCCCAAGAGCTGGGAATGCAGGTGTGTGCTCAGTTGCCTGGGGTTATTTACAGGCAAATGCAGAGGCATTGTCTGAGTTTGTTAAGGGCAACAGTGCTGTGGCTAGCTGCCAAACATGGGCTCTTCTGGCTGCAAGGAGAAGGGGTTGGCCCAGGGGAGTGCTACAGTTTGAGGGGGTTTGAGTTTTGACTGGAGGCTCATGAAGTAGAAACCAAGTCCTCAGTGTGGCTATGTTAAGAAACGATGGATGGAGAGTTTCAGGAAAGGGATACTGGGCAGCCATTGTGGGTACTACTTTCTGGAGGGGGATGCAGTTCTTATGAGACCCCGAGTTACGAGAATGAATTGTTGTGACACATCAGCCCTGGCCCTGCCTTACTTGCTGGTGTCCTTTCTTGCCATGTGACTCTCTCTTCTTGTATAGATGTCTATCAACTGCCATGACATCCCTATCAGAGCCACTGTCATGCTGTTTGGACTTTCATCCCTCCAATCTGTGAGTGAAACAACCCCCTTCTTTGGATATGGTCCAGCTCCGGGTATTTCATTAGGCCCTTGAAAATGGACCAACACAGCAGGGGACAGCCCTGTGCGGGCAGAGCCCATTTTGCCTAAGTTTCCTGAAAATACTTGGAAGTTCTTTCTCTTTCTGAGACACGCACAAAGGTCCTAAAGAGTTTCCTAAACATGCACAGTGATTAGGTCTCAACCTTCCTAGTGCTCTGGCCCTTTAATACAGTTCCTCATGCTGTGGTAACCCCAACCACAAGTCATTTTTGTTGCTACTTCATAACTGTAATTTTGCTACTGTTACGAATGCTAATGAAAATATCTGTGTTTTCTGATGGTCTTAGGCAATCTCTGTGAAAAGGTCACTCAACCCCTAAAGGGGTCGGAACCCACAGGTTGAGTACTATTGAGTCAGAGCCTGCCATGACAGCTTCATTTCATTTGTGGAATTACCTCGGGACATTTTCCAGAGCTAACTGGCAGTGTTTCCCTATTTTTGCCGTTGAAGCTGCAAAGAGTGAACAATTTTCCTGTGGACATTGGTACCCAATGGACAAGGCCCTCCCAAATCTGGACCTTCTCTAGAGGAGGTGATCCCAGCCCCTCTTTCTCCCTTACCACCTGAGGCAAAGCAATCTGATAGAACTGGTGTTGTATAATTGCACTTGTTTGGCATTTATTTTGACTGTAAGGATGTGAGTGGTGTGGTATGTGACTACTCCCTGCCTTCCATGGAGGCTGAGGGAGGAACAGGGTATCCAAATTGCAGACTAGGATCAGCAAGCAGTCCAGGCTGGCTTCTTCCCAATATGTGTTGAGCTCCGGTGCTGCTCTGTGTACAGCATTGCCGGGTATAAGGAATCAGCGGGGTCAAGGGTTCACAGAACAGGCCATCTCCAAGGGAAGCAATCAGGAAATGTGCAAAACTGATCAAGTCCCAGACCAGGGGGGACCTGGCCTAGCTTGAAGTGAAGGGGGTTGAGTTTGGGGGAGGCTTGCTAGAAGTCCATATCTGGCAGCCATGGAGACACGGAGGGCTTCTCAGGCTGGACAGCATAGACAACAGTTTCACTCCACAGGAGAGCGCTGTCTGGTCTGCGTTACCCAGGTCTGTGGGAGTGCCGATGGGTAGGTCACTCGGACACATCAATGGGCAGCATGGCCTTGATTGCAGGGAATCTATCGCAGGAAAAGTCGGCAAGCAGTTGCTTGGTGCCACTCCGAGTGGGAAAAATCTCAAATCGGACCCGGGACTTCTCCTTGGGGCGCAGGGCTGGGACACTGATGGGCGAGGACATAGATTAGTGTTGCTGTGAAATCCAGAGGGCTCAGGCTACACGGGCCCTAGAGGACTCCAAGGCCTGTTCTAGTGGTATAAGGCAAAGCCACCATTTCCTCAGCTCCCTTTAGCTGTCTCTCGGTGTGAGCTGGTTCCCTTTAACTCTGTGGCATCCAGCTAGGGAGGGGGCAGATAGTCTATGGTCTCCCAGATATGCTAAGCCCTTAAGATCAGATTTTAGCACTTGCAATTAGGACTTCAAGCTTGATGAACTCCAAACCAAATGCAGATTCTTGGACACCAAGGGCCACAAAGAATGAAGGTTCAAGGTCAGAGGGTACTCTGACTGTCTACTACCTAACGGCTCTGGACAGGCCCTCCTGCTCGACTCTTAGCCATCCCCACAAAGCTGCTTAGGCCCAGGACTCACTCAATTCTGAGGCTGCCACGAAGCAGGCCGCTGCCCTCCACCATCAGCACACAGTTCTTTACTGGTTCATCCAGGGGGTTGGAGAAAAGCATCCGCACGATCACAGGCTTCTGCACCTGAGCCTGGTCCAGCACCTGGAGGAAGGGCCCATGAGTTAAGATGCTAGGTATGTGGCCCCTACCTGCTACCCTGTGAGAGCCGAGCATGAGGATACGGTGAGAGAGAAATATTGCCTAGGATGTAGAAGGGAAGGCCATTTCATTCAGTCTCAAGAATTAGATGGTGTCCTAAGATCCATGTGGGGTGCCAAAACATTACCATTATCCTCACACTATATATGGGAAACAGCTCAGGCAGAGACCTGTGCTGTTCTCTGTGACTGGAAGCTTACTGAGACAAGCTCACAACCCCAGTTCAGTTCATCAAGAACAGGCAGCTCCTGCTTCTGAGGACAGCCCACTGCCAGCTAGTTTTCGTGAACCTCCTACTTATTGGTTTTTTTTTCCCTTAAAAATTTTGGGCGTGTGTGCACACAACAGTGTGTGTGTGTGTGTGTGTGTACACTCAGGAGGCTGGAGTCATAGAAGACAACAGCGGGATTTGGGGCCATATAATCAACATAAACTACTTACTCACCCCAAAAGGTGAGGACTGTTGTTTATCTGCTAAATGTCAGCCATGATCTGGGCAGACATGGCTGATAAGGAGGGATAATTATTTATCTCCCCATCTAGAAGGAACAAATGACGTCATGGAAAGGGAAGACAGTGTTTTGGAATAGATGCTGAAATTTCGTGACCAGCACATTTCTCTCTTTCTTCCTTTGAGAACCCTGGAGGCTATTACGTTAGTTAGTTAGTTAGTTAGTTAGTTAGTTAGTTAGTTAGTTGTTTGTTTGTTTGTTTGTTTTTCTTGTTAGTGCTCATGGCTACCACTGTATGGTGTAAAAGGGCAAGTTCAAACTAATTTGACAGCCTGGGAAGCTCACACACTGGGAGAGAAAAGGGCCTACCTGGTCCTAAAGCCTAGACTATTTTTTGACAGACATTGCAATATATCACAGTGCACTCTGAATAAATGAGACATATCACACATCATGATTTCTGTCATCTGTCCATTGGATTAGAAGTATATTAATTAGAAGAGAAAAGCATAGTTTTGTGCTGTTGGTCTGTAACAATGCTACATAAGTAGCACTGTAATCTTGCTGCTGACATTAAATGTATACATCTGTATATTAATTTATCTTTATTGCTGTTTGTTAACCAAATCTATAAACACACTCACTTATATTTTCAAGTGTCTGTTTCTTGATAGTTGTATATTAACTTGGGAGTATAGATGCACGCAGCAGACTGAACGTGGAACGCTAGTCGTGAATTTGAAGGTTCTCACCCCTTTGGAAAAGCGTTCAGACTTTATTTCTGATCCCACAGTGTAAGGTCCCCAGGTTAGCTCATGTCAATCAGCAGATGAGCTAGTGGGAGGGGTCAACCAGACGGTTAGATGAGATATGAGAATTTTACCTAAAACATTATCATTTTCTATAGATTCCCTTCATGAGTTTGAACTTCTGACACTGCTCTGAGTGAACCACACATCGCCTTATTTAGTGGTCAAAAATGTCTCTATTTTCTAGAATCTCAACAACACGGGAGGGTGTATTTGAGAGAAGGAAAATTGGGTGTATCTTATAAAGAATCAAGGAAGTTCAGAATGGCCTTTATCTTGACAGCATCAGTGATAAAGATATTATAGTATCTTTAAAGATAAATCAGACATCATATGGGCATCTAAAAATTGAATATAAATATATGAATAAAAGATGATTATGTAAGGATGTTTGAGGATTAGGAATAAAATGGGGGGGAAATTAACTTAATTTAAATGCTCATCTTTTTAGGACAAAATATATTTTATAGCTGAGATGGTCACCATCAAGTATTGTTTCCCAGCTTTGGGAGTTGGAGAAAACACTCAGCTGTCTGTCATATTGCAGAGATGGACAGGGAGAGCTTCTTGGAAACTCCTTGTGAAGCAAAAGAGGCTGCACCATGCAAGAGCCATACAGGAACTAACAACAGCTTCCCTCTGGGAAAGAAAGAATGGCAGCCCAGAGCCACAAGCTCGGCTGCAGTCCCGACCCATGGAGGATGCTGTTTCTGTTTGGTGAGGTTTTATGTGGTGAGATGACCCCAGAACAGTCTTAACACTAGTTCCACTGGCACTGACTATCAGACAAATTGTTATATGAAATTGTACTTTCAGTGAGACAAACGTTTAGAATGTTTGGGTGACCAGGCCTGATCTGTGAAATCCATCAAGCGTGGCTACCCTAAGGAAGTGACACCCTGCAAGGAAAGCATCTTTTCATTCCTCTGACAGAGCTGGAGCAACAGACTTAGCTGAAGGGCTTACTCACTTTCCATGCTGACAAATACTGGAGCCCAGATACAAGGCCAAGTCTCTTTAGGAGTAAGGCTCAAGGTTGGAATTACTACTCCACACTGACTGTCTAGCCCTGAGGTGGAACCACCCCTGTCCTGAAGCACAGTGGACTAAACAGGACAGCAAAACAGTAGCTGCATGCAAAATGGGACCCTGTATCACAGTGAACACGCTGGGACCCCTTTCCTGACACCGGGAACCCTAGAAACTAGCTTAAGAGAGGCAGGACCAGGGAAGACACAATTGCCTGGATCCCTGGGGACTCAGGAAGCCAGCAGTGGGATTATATAGGAAGAAGCAAGCACTATACAGAGATACAGTAGACAAAGGGTAGCCAGATCTGTGAGGCTCTTATGTACATTCCTAGGGGAAACCCTGCCTTTTCTGTTCACTTCTTGGTGGCTAGTGGGGTTCCTAGGACTGGGGGAGGCACCCTTCCCATCCTCTTACCTCCAGGGTCAAAGCAGGGTTGTCCAGGATGACATCCCGCTCCACCACCACCTCGGCCTCATCAGGCACCTTGCATACGGCTGTGACCCGGATCATGTTGTCTGCCTTCAGGTATCTACTATACTGAGAGTATGCGATCTTCACAGGATACTGTATTTCTGAAGGAAGAAGCAGGGTGTGGGTGGACCGAGTGTGAAGCTGCACTCTGGGACCCTCTTTAAAACCGAGTCAAGGTGGGCTGAGCTGGCAGCTGGATCTGTACGCAGCCTACTGCTTTCGAAGCTGTCAGCACTCAGGTTTTGTGGGGTTTGTTGTGTTTGTGGTTTTGTTGGTTTTTGTTTGGATTTTTTTACTGGGAGGTGGGGAGGGGCAGAGTAAGGGACCAAGGAGGTTCCAGGATACAAGCAAGCAAGCTTGCATCCAAAAAAAGAGGGACTTGAAGGTCTGAGGTGCAGCTGCCCCTCCCAGGCCTGGGAAGTGTCAGAGGATGAGTTTCCCTGTAAGAGACTGGGAAGAAGAATGCTAACCTATTGCCCAATGGTGGTGGCAATACAGTAATGACTAGGCAGGGAGGCTGAGGCATTGGCTAAATGCTTCTGTTCCCTCAGTCATCTAATGAGCTGCGATTCTAGAGTGACAGTGTCCTCGGCTTCCTCTCTCTGGGCGCTCCCTCTTCAGAGCTGTCCACACTCAAGGAAGGCAAAGCTTTGAACACCACACAAGGTTTTCTAAATCAGCTCACTCCTCTTGTGCTTCACCACAAAAACCTTCCATGATGGCTTACCACCTCGGGGAAAAAATTCAGACCCTCAGCTTGGCCCTGTCCCAATTGTGCAAAAGGCACCTCCTCCTTAGAAACACCCTGCACTTTCCCACCAGGATTTACATACATCAGGCTTGTTTCTGCCTCACTTCTGACTTGTGGGGTTTCCCTTAATGGGATTTCCTCCCTTGGCTTCTCTCTAGGCCTCAAAGATTCCCTCTGTTGTGCTGGATTCAGGATCCAGAGCCTTGTGCATGCTAAGCACATATTCTATCAGGGAGCTACGCTTTCACTCCACAAAACCCTCCCAACACTGAGGGTCGTGGGGATTTTCCCTCTTCAGATGGTCTTGGACATTGCTTTCCTTCCCACAGTTGTGCTCTGTGGCCTTTGGGGTCAGGGGGCTAGGAGAAAGTTCCCTCTACTTCTACGGAGAGGATTGGCTACAGCTGTCCCTAATATGGAGACGGAATCCTCAAGTCAATTGAGCCACTTTCTCAGTGGTCTGACTTTGAGGCTCAGAGAGGGAACGAGACCCATTCAGGTTTATCTGGGAAGTATCTGAGCGTCAGGACTCCCGGTTTTTGTTTGTTGTTTTTTTTTTTTAGAGGACTAAAATGTTTTCCCCCTTCATAGGGAGTATTTTTGGCTTACAGAAATAGGTTGTCCTATGCTAGAGATTTACCTTTGGTAGCCTTCTTGCCTAGCATCCAGGAGACCCTGGCCTCCTTTTTTTTTTTAAGTGTCAGAAGTAAATAACACCAACAGTTGCTTCTGACACTGACATTTCTGCTGGAAGACAAACTGCGAAGGGATTCTGCCTTTTAGCAGAGGTAATTCAGCTCGATTTTTCTTGGAATTCTTTCAGGACAGGCTATATAATTAACCAGTTTCTATTAATTCTTGATGTGAAGCAAATAGTCACCCCACCCTTGTCAATCTGCTTTGTCAGCCCAAACTTTTCATAACAGCTCCCGGATTTTGTCAATGCTGGCACACACCTACATTCTAATCCCACAGAATCCGTCTCCCTCTGCTCTGCCTGGTTCCCTTCCCACCTCTGCTGCCCTGGAACAACAAGTCACTGAACCTCCCAAATGCTTAGATCTCCAAGAAAACCTGTTACTGTCATCAAAAAAACTGCACTCAGAGCCAAGAAGCTTCAGGCAACACGGGGTAAGGATTTAAGACCCTGGGATCTTTCAAAGACCACCCAAGGTCAAACCTATAGCAGGACAACAGCTACAAAACCTAGCAAACAGGTGACATTGGGCTTGACATCAGAAAACCAAGGACCAAGACCTCGGCACTGGCCCTTAATTACCATGGCACAAGAGAGTTACAAGTATCTGAAGCCTTCTGTTCACCTCTGTAACATGAGGCTTGAAATCACCCCCTTTTTTTAGAAGGTCAGATGAGATTCCATTCACTCTGAAAATCAGGCAGGGTGGCACAAACCCGTACAGGACACTGTACTGTGGCTATGAACTGCTAAAGCCTCCCTTCTTCCTTTGCTAGGGCATAATAAACATGTAGTTAGCGCCACAGTGACTGGCCTTGCTCATAGGACAGCAACTTCCAGAGCATCAGAACTAAGGCTTACCCATGGAGGCCACTCACTACTCTGTCCACAGTCAGCCAACTCACCAAAAGCAGTAGGATCCCATCTGTGACCAACTCTTTTGGGCCCTAGATTGATTGAGTTCTATCAACTACAGGATGAGTTACCTTCTTCAGCCTCCAAGGATATTGTGGCAGAGTCCTTCCATACTTCGTGAACAAGGGTACCGTTGTAGACGATGGTCCAAGCTGTCATGTTCATTGTCACTGTCTTCCTATCACTAGTCATGTTTTTGAGCGTCAGAGACAGACTGACTTCTTTGCCTACTGCCAGTGCCCCAGTGACCTTGAACTTCCCAGAAATGCTGGGCTCCTTTTCTTCCCCTTCCGAATTCCTTGAAGACGTTGGACCGAAAGTTGCATTAGGTTTGAGTTTGCTCAAAGCCTTTTCCTGTACTTGTCTTTCCTCCTTGGAACCTGTGTATTGGTGAGAGAAACCAAAACAAAACAAGGATACCTCAGGGATGTAGCTGCAAATCAGACAAAGGACAGAATGACCCGCTTGGAAAGTGACTAGATCTAACACTGACACCACTTCCATCTGCCCAAGATGCTCCCAGCAAGTGTCTAATCTTGTCAGGTCTCCATTAACCCTTCTTAGTATAAGGTTTCCAGGCCAGCCGGGCTCTGGTACTTTTTAAATCAAGTCTATACTCTCAGGAAGTCGCAGGGAAAGTTCGGTCAGTTTCTGCAAACATTACTACAGCACTTCATCATTTCTGTGTTTTAAATTAGTTTTTTTTCCATTTTCTCCTTCCCACCCTCCCTCCCCGCCTCTTTCCTTCCATCTCTTTCTCACTTCCTTTCTCTTTCTTTGGATAGAAGGCCTTTTTCTGAGACTTGAAGAACAAGCCATTTAAAAGCAAACGGCAAAACCAAACAGAGAGGAGTAAAAACGAACCCACAAGCAAAGCCAGAGTCATGAGAAAGAACTCTAAATCACTTCCCCACATTCCCCGGGTTTGTGTCTAGAGGCACTTCAAGAGTCAGCAAGTGACACTTTTGTCTGTGCGAGTCAGCAAGAACATCCTGAGGCTGATGAGGTTCCAAGTCATGGATAGTTTGAATTGCTGAGAAATTCAGAGTCTCAAAACCGCAAGGGCTCTAACAAAGGGTGCGTTTCCTGAGTCTGTGGGTCAGCAGAACCTACTGTAGGTCTGTAGCTCCGACTAGGCAGCAGAAGTTCTGAGAAGACAGCATTGGTGACATCCTAAAGACTTGTGGCACACTGGGGACAGAGCAAACAACTCCAAGCTCAGGACTAATGAACTGACTAATCAGTTCACCGTCCACTCCCGGCTTTGACCTGCAGGCACGTATACCACACAGCAGAAGGTCTTAGCCTCTCAAGAGGACAGAAGAGTGACCCAATTTGTATGTATGGACCCCTAGGCTTTCCCCCAACCAATCTGTGAACATTTCAAAGTAAACCAGAAGGCTTAAGATAAGTACTCTACAAGTTAGTGAGTCCTTTTCATGAATTATGTAAATTTCCTGGCAGGGACTTCAGAGACTCATGAAATCTAAGAGAAGCTACTGGTTTGGACTACTCTGGGATTTGGATGAAGAAAGGGAGGGATTCATCTCCAGGGATCTGGAGCCTGGTCTAAGGATCCTCCCTTGTACCCACCCTGCTGCAAGTAAGTGGCTAGATTACCCGGCTTGAGAGCTCCCGGAGGGTCAGGCTCCTCTGGATGCCCTTCCATTCTCTAGCTGAGCTGTCAGTCCACACCCAAAGCTGAAGGCTGTGCTGAGCCTCTGAGGCTCTTTGCCTGAGTCCCTGAAGCAGGCGTTTGCACAAGGAGGTTCCAGAGCCTATATAGGTCACCTGCTGAGCTTACTCAAGACTATGCTTCCTGCTGCTGTTTTCTCACCACAGGATTGCTATTGTGCAAATGCTTAGCAACCCATTTTTATGAGCTTTTCCTGCCTGGGGCTCTCTGAGACCAAGGGGCATCATTAGACAAGAAGATCTGGGTAACATCAGACAGCTGTTCCATCCTGCTGTCATGCATGAGCAGAGGAACTGGCAGGAACCCTGGAGGGAGTTTCCTACTAGGCCTCTCTCCATTGCTTAGAAGGTTGCTAGGACTGCAGAGGAACAGGATCAACATGTGAGAGTGATAGGGAAAGTCACAGTCTCGTGCAGCCAGGTAAGCAGTACCTGAACAAAGTAGTTCGTGGGAAGGCATTATTCCAGGGAGGGTATCCAAATGGATGGAGACCACCATCCTAGTCATTAAGTCTGTACTGTGTGCCAAACACTGTACTTTGTGTGCGTTTTTGTATTGAAATCCAACCCAAGAGAGACACTGCTATTCTTGTTTTGTTGGCAGGGGGACAAGAAAATCACAGAACCTATGAAGCCTGTTATAAGTGGTAGGTAGGACTGAGAGTCGCCTTCTGTTCCGGCTTATTTGTTTCCTGTTCCTTATACTTGTCTTACATTATGATTTTGAAATTACCAGCCTGGCACCTGCCTTTCCAGTGACACCATCTGCTGTGTTTTATCTACAGGGTCCCTAGGGTAGGCATTCAGGCTCGTGGAAATTGTCAGATAGTTTATGATGGAATGCACAATTTCTTTCCAGTGCTCTACCATTCTCAAACAAGTGTATTTCTACTTTAGAGAATTTCAACAGTGTTTACAGACTGCAAAGTGTCCATCCACTGGTACCTAGAGTGGACACCTCTGGCGTTTGAGTTAGACTCCACCTCTGGAGTCAGTTTTCTAACACCAAGGCCAGCAGTTGTCGGAGATTTGGTCTGATTTCAGGAGCACTGTAGGCGCATTTAGAAAGGTACTTTTCTCTCCCCCCCCCCAAGCCTCCTAGAAATTGACTGTGATCAGTTGAGTCTCAAGTCAACTTTTCCCAAGTATTTCAGAAAGAGTAAAATATAAACCCACTGGAGGGTGCCCATGGCCTGCTAGAGCAACTACTCAATAACTCTGGGCTGTTTCTAAAGCTGAACCACACCTCTAAATGTGGAGTTTTGCCATCCTCGAGAACTGCTATGCTGCTGGTTCCCAAAGCAACTTTGGAGTGACCATAGCCTTCCTAGTTACTGTAGGAGGACAGCAGCAGTACAGATGATGGAGATTTCAGGGACCACGGCATCAGCCTCCTCCAGGGATCATACCTGGGACTTCTTAGGGCATGGGGGCTATGCATGCAGGTGGCACAAGCACACATCCCTGAGTTTGTTTCCTTGCTGAGTCAGCATTCACTGTCTATGTTCTTGGAGACTAGCAACTGATAGAGAAATGTCTCCCAAAGCCCTTGAGGACCGTGCCTCTCCCTGTGATATCCAATCATAGTAACTTCAGTTCAGTTGACAATTGAGAAAGGACATATCTGGAGGTGGGCTGGGCCTACACTTGTCTGTGCTCTGATGTTAACTCCCCCAGGTATTGTAGCTGTCCTTGATGCCTCTGTCCCAATTGAAAACCACAGCAGAGCCCTTGCGACATCCTGGCACTTCTGTAGAACTAGCTGAGATGTAGGAGTGTCGGGGAAAGGCTCCTTTTCTTGCCACCCTCAGAGCTGTCCACCCATCACCAAGCCCCATGTGGCATCCACCTGTACCAATCCTACCTTCTGGATTCTTGTACTTGACTGTGACATCCATGCGAGAGTTGCTGCCCACTGCCTTGGTGCTGATGTATTTGCCAATGGAGTGAGTGTCCACAGAATTCTGCTTCTGGCTGCCATCTTTCTTATTATAGATCCAAGTGATGCGGTCAGCGCTAACCTCCGCGAAGATGAAGACCATGTCATAATTCAGATTCACCTCACCTTCTCGGATTGCGTTGACGGAAGCTGGGCCACACTGGAACACACCTGATGGCCAGGATGTAGAGTTTGGACGAATGCAAATGACAGCTAAGCCCATCGACCCCAGCCTGGCTAGGATCTGACTCTGAAGGGATGCTGACTTAACAGCACAGCACTCTTCTGCCTGTACTCCAGCCAAACCTCAGCTCTAACTGTGGCCCATTGATCTGGCACGCGGCAGCTACCCATCACCATCATTCTGTACCAAGTCCCTGGTCCAGCTCCATTTAAGATTTTTGTGTCTCACCTGGGTTGATCCACTGAGGTCAGTCTGGTCTTTCTCTGAAATGTTGCCTTTCTGCCTCTGAAATCACTCTAGCCCGGAGGTGCACTGACATTCTATTTCCAGAAATCTTTCCTGAACGTCTAGTCCATGGGAATCCTTCCTCCTCTGAGTTTCTAATCCCAACCTTCACTTTTCTCCTCCAATATTCAGTAAAGTAGATTATTCGGCTAGACGAAGATAGAAATTCTCTCTCTCATACTATATGTAGTAAAAACATACACTATATTATGTGCATATACATGTATGTTATCCACATGTTTACAAAGCAAACAAAAATGCACACACCAAAAAAAAATCAAAACACTAGCCATAGAAAGAATTATAAAAAAATGCAAAAATGAACACACAACAATTTATACACGAAGGACAGTGACCCAGATTTAAAAAAATAAGCCATAAATCGCAGAAAGTAAATTTGACTTCTTGCATATGTGAGGCATTTAACAGGTCAATAGATAGTCCTATTAGTCCTGATATTCTACTTTATTTTCCTTTCTGTCCTGATTTGTTTTCACTTCTTCACATGGTCACAGTTCTTAGACTTGATTTTATGGCCACTTATGAACTGTACAGAAATGTTTAAAAAAAAACAGTGGCTAGGAAATATCCAAAAGGTTTTCCTCCACCCCCAAATTTACAGTATACTTTGTTTCTTTTAGAAAGGTGTTCCTGGGTAGGGTAAGGATATTAGGCTGACAGCGGGACTGTATTTTCTAAGTATTTTTATAACTAGCTGAGTCACTCTGATAGTTTCAATTATATTCAATATAATATATTATATTACTTTATACATTTCTTTTTTACTGTTTGAAAGAAACAACTCAAAATGAGGTAGCAGACAGAATAGACTCTTTAGAGGTGAGAGGAAGAAGAAAAACCCCAGAGAGCTTGGAATCCATCTTTGATGGGAGAGAAGGAGGTGAGAGACAAAAGCAAAGGTCCAGGCCCTGAGCACAAGCAAGGCAACCCATCTGAAGAGAGCCTAGCCTGTCAGAAGGCACACAGGAGCAGCCATTGCTGACTCCACAGGACTTCTGCCCTGGAAGGCCATGCTGCTGGTGGCAGAGGAAGGAAGTAATTATTGACAAGGGAGGGTATCTTTTCCCTGTTGCCTGACATATGCTAGGGCTCTTCAGTGGTAGCAACAACCGGAGGGGCTGCAGAGGAGGGATCTACTTAAATGGCAGCATAAACAACTCAAAATGAGGAAAAGTCTTCATCCTGTTGTACATCGTAGAGGTACAGAGGGCTTTGGGCAAGCTCAGAGCAGCTGGAGCAGGGTTACCTTGGCTTCTCTCCTGGGGGGTGGCATCCAGCACCTGCCATCCATTGTATGCAGGTCCTAGGTCATTCCTCACAAACCAGCCTTCATTCCAGACATGAAAATTCCTGCAGACAGAAGGCCATATAACAAGTGAAGGACAACACCACTTCTCTGACCAAATGCAGCTCTCAGATCCTCCCTAAAGGTACTCCCTGTGCCAGAGATTCTGCTAGTCCTGGTGGGCATCATCTCCCCGAAATCCTTCCAGGACTGTAACCTGAGGCTCAGACACAGGAAACAGAGCTGGGGCTGACGAAGGAGAGTGAAGAGGCTGCTCTGAAACATAAGAATCAAGGGAAAGGAACCCCAAATTCTTCTATAAACTGCTCATATCTGGTGACTCTTGAGCTATACATGCATGAGACAAATCAAGTATCGTGAGAAAAATGACAGAGCTGAGCTGCTCCCACTGTACTGAAGCAGTTTGCAATCTGAGTCCATCTAGGGTTTTGCTGGTACACGGTAAGAAAATACAACCGTTCAGCATGCCTGGGATATAAGCCAAAGGAACTCAACACACAGAGGACCAGCAATTACGGTAACTCAGCCTCAAGACAAAAGACAATCAGGAGTTAAAGTTGTCAGGCAAGGACTTTAAAGAAGCAACTATAACCAGAATCAATGGCACACAGGGAAATATCTTCACAGAGAACAAAAAAAGAGGAACTTCTGGCAGATAAATAGATTTTTTTTTTTAGAAGAATGGAATGGAATGGAATGCTTTTAACTGCACCCTCCCTGATATCTGAAATTGAATCATTCAGTGGATGAGTTTATTAGGGAAAAGGCTGTAAGAGAGGAAGGATGAACATGCTTGAAGAGAGATCTGCAGATCACTGCAATTATGTCTGGAAATGGGGGAGAAAAAAAGATGATGAAAAACCAATAAAGTAGAAAAATAGGTACAACATATATGTTGGACAGAAACTTACCATATTATGGTTATTAGATACATACAGATCAATAAGAGCGGAATAAAGAAGAACATATCAATAAAGAGTGACAGTTTTCCTAACCATGACGACTGAATATATGATTCTAGTTTTAACCTCACTGCTATTAAAAGAAGATTAAAATGGCAAAGAGGAACCATGACAGCCATGCAGATTATGCCTGCTAACCAGAGATTAAAGTCTAAGCTGGGGGCCTTGGTCACATTCAGTAAGAAAGCAAGTGCTACTGCCAACTTTCAGGATTTAAAGTGGTATGGCCTTTGCAGAGGGCAATTTGGCAACGAGTATAAAAATCTTTAAAAATTTGCATACCCATCAAGCCAGTATTTCTACCATGAAGGATTTCTCCAGTGGAAAACTCATGACTATACACAGTGGTCCAGACTAAGGTGCTCATTCCACCATTGCTTGTGAGAGGGAGGATGTTGGAAGAAAAAAATCACCACTAATGGAACGAACAGATACATTGTTGCACAGCTATAAATAAAATGTCACACAGCCGTAAAATAAATAACAAGCAAAATGAAGCCAGTGTTTAACACGGAGAGGTTATCTAACATAACATAAAGTAAGAACGTCAAATGGAAGCTATGTGTCCAGTACACAGCTGTAATCCTGGGATGCCAAAGCAGGAGACTGTGAACTCTAGCCAGACTGTGCTACATAGTGACACAAACACCAAAACAAACACCACAAAATACAAAAACAAAAACCCCAAATCAACAATTAGATTTTCTAAAATAAAATGTAAACAGAAAATTAATTTAAAAATCAAGATAGAAAACAGTAATGCGTATGTGTCTGTGTGCACGTGTGTGTGTGGGGGGGTTGGGGGTGTTGGTGGTGGTAGGACTTGAACTCAGGACCTTGTGTATGTTAGGCAAGCATTCTACCATTGATACATAGCCTTGTCCCTGTATTAACTCCTTTAATCCTTGACTCTATAAAATAGAAATCATTAACCATTCCTATTTCTTTTTTTACGATTCTTAAACTGTGGCATGAAGAAAAGTGATCTCACAACTTACACTCAGGAAATTCGAGTGTAAGGGAGGGGAAGGCGAACAAATGTCACAGTATTAATACAGAACATAATAATAGTTTAAACGTATAATGGATCATATGACAGTTAAATAATTTCACTTTTGAAGGATATTTAGTAGCAAGGAGAGCATGTTTATAACATATAACAAAACCATATGATCAACTGGGGATGTAGGTCAGTAGTAGAGTGCTTGAGTAGCAGGGGCAGGATCCTGGGCTCTAGGCTAGAGAGAAGCCTCAGCAGGGAAAGGTGCTTTGCTGGAGTTACATCCCTGGAAGTCTCGTGATGAAAAGAGAGATCCAACTCCCACAGCCTGTCCTCGGACTTCTGCACTTCTGCACTTCTGCATGCTCTCCGTGGCACACATATATCTCCACATATAAACACACACACACACACACACACACACACACACATGAGTTTAATCAAATAATAAATATAAAAACATTTAAAGACTCTAAGCTCAGTCCCATACTAAAAAACAAGCAAATCCTTTAAGTGAAACCATGAAGTGGCTGGCTTCCATCTATGGGACATAATAGGATGCATCTATCACATGTTCTATCTTGTTCCTGAACTTTGCAAAATATATTATCTTAATTCTACAATCAATAAAAAACACTAAAGAATGGATAGGAAACTATCAAATGTTAAAGTGTGGGAACAATATGACCATAGTTGAGTTTTACTTTTCTTATATTTTGAAAATTCCTATAACTAGAGAAAAACAGCTCTGGAAAAGACAGGCATCCCGCCTCAGAAGGACTGCGTGTTTGTCAACAGTCACAGAAGCCTCTCCTCCAGGACTCATCACGTTAGTCGTGATGCAAACCTGGAAGTTCACAAGCCGCCACTCTAGAGCTTGTCTTGAGTTGTCTGCCTGTAAACTCCAAACACAGCCTCACCTACTGCCTCACAGGACCCCTTTCTAGATCTGGGGAGTGTGATGAGCAGAACTCTGTGTCTTGTACATCATCCAATGTTTCCACTGTTACTCCAGAACCACTGCTCTTTGTGTGTGGCTATAAACTACTCTAGTACAGTTCCTGCTTTTCACCTCATGACACCCGGTGTCCCAGTGCAAGTGCTGAGTCAAGCTGGGTGATTTGAACAGCTTTGGGAACAAGGCTCCTAAGTCCACTGGTAACCTCCCTGCAGATTAAGTGGTTAAGGGTTGGTAGGGACAGGAATTCAAAGGCAGAGCTCTGTGTAAGAAGACAGGGATGGGTCGCTGAAGAATAGGGACCAACAGTGAACACTCCACTCCCTAGGCAGAGCAGGGCAGGGCAGAGCAGGACAGGGCATGGCAGGTCAATCCTCATCTGCCTCCTACCTTGGAGCTGTGCAAAATCTACAGATAGTGTCCTGTGTGCAACTACATAAAGGGGGGGGAGGGATGGAAGGAAGGAGGGAAGGAGAGAGAGAAAGAGAGAGAGAATGAACAGAGAAGAGCAGCTAGAATCATCAAGGAAACTTGGACAACTTTTCCTGATAGTTGGGTCCACATTCTGATTGGATAAGTCTCCAGAGCCCTCCCCTTCACAGTGGCCCAACAGGAACCTGGGTTACAAACAAACAAACAACAACAACAACGACCCACAAACATTGAGTTTCCCCAAAGTATACTGCTCCTGAAGAAAGCAAAGGCTCTGGATAGACAAGAAAGCGTATCTCTCTTAGGCCTGGAGAGAAGCTGTACTCGATTGGAGGCTGGAGGTGTGACTACAAGAGAACCCTGGAAGAAACTGCAGAGAATGCTTAACCCAGCCCTTCTATATATAGGTGGGAAATTAAGTACAAAAATACTCCACAGACAATAAAAGCAGCAGCAAGTAATCAAGCATTTCACAGTCAGCGAGAGTGTCTGTCTCCTAGCTGCTCATCTTTAGGCGAGTTACAGGCCATAAGGGGCTGGTTCCAGTATCCTCTTGGGGAACCAAATTCTACAATGTTGGAAAGAAAATAGAATATATGTAGTATCATGTTCAGACAGACAAAATCATGGTAGGCCTAACTATATTTCCAGTTCAGTGTCTGTGAGTCTGTGAACAGATACAGAGGACTGGCTGTAACTCTTGGTAGGCATCTATTCACTCCTTTGTTAAGATGACCAGGACTCTCCCTCTCCCTCAGATTGCTTTTAGTCCTAGTGTTCTTTGTTTTCATAGAAACCTATTATGTTCTAACTGTAGCTTAGTCACAAATTCACAGTGTGATTTTGGGCAAGTCACTTTTCTTCGTGGCACTCCTGAGATATGTTTGGTCTTATCAGGAAGTGCTATTTACTGTTTAAAGTGAGTCAAGGAATCCAACCCAATCTTCCACACCGTGATGTCTTGCCAACCTCCTTTAGAAAATACCCAGATAGGAGCTGTTGGAAGTCTCAGGCTTTAGTCAGGGATAATAGCAACAGCATTCTCTGGTGCATTGTAATTCAATCTGACTGAGTTCAAATTGCATCTCAACCTTCTGGTTATGTCTTTTGAAGGAAATTATTCAACTTCTCTGTGTCTCAGTCTCTCACCTGTAGGTTGAGTCTGAAAATAATAAAATATCAATACCTATCTTCTGATTTGTGAATGTAAACATCAGCACAGAGAACACTAGTTGGCCTCCAGCCATACATCAGCTGTTGCTAAGCCCTTCCTGACCAATCCTCACCTACAACGTCAAGATCCTATGAAGAGCAGTGTACATCTAAAGCTTTCAACGTTTATGACACGAAGGATTAGACTTAAGTTTTTCTGCCTAAAATTAAGCTGTGTTTCCTATAAAAGTTTAGTAATTCTCCTCTCCTTGGGTGTGCTTGATGTGTGGGTCTCTGGAGGGAGCAGCTAGATCTCACACCAAATACAGGGTCTGAGAAGAATATGGCTGAGAGCTGGTAAGACGCTTGGATGATAATCAAGTCCTGGACCAACTCTGATGCTTCACTGGAGGAGAAACTTGGGAGCAGAAACACAAGGCAGCTAATCTCCAAAGAAAGGGGAAAAACTCCCAATATAACTCTCTGGAAAACCTCCTCAAGCTGTGTGACCGTAGGTGAATTATGTGTTCACTGTCCTGTAGAGGGGGAGGGGACACTTAGAGTAGTTCAGTTGTCAGCATGGGGTGGTTTGTTTGTATTAAAACCTTTCCCTACTTTTATTTTATTTTTTTTCTGTTATACTGAACACAGTTCAGAAAAGTTAGACCTTCTTGTTCTGGAAATAATAAGTAACCTGTTATATAGACAAGCTCAAAGTTGGGCAAAAATGGTAACTGCTATAAAGTTCGTCTGGTCATGTGGATACTTGTGAACAACTATGCATATGTGTCCTTCAAAACTGACTCAAGCAAGGAATCATTGACTGTGTGTGGCAGAGAGAGCCACAGATATCTCTGCATATATACAGAATATTCCATTGATAATAACCCATCATATGGTATAACCTTAAACAGTTGTAATAATATGCATATACTGTAAACATTGCTATAAGTAATTATACATTTTAAAGCTTTACATAATCTACTTCTATCTGGCATCTATTATATATATAACATATAAATACACATATACATATATTTCTGTGTGCATATGGCTCCATGTGACTATGGCATATTTATGATTAGAAATATATGATGCTTAAACACATGCATTTTCTTATTTTTACCTGCAACCCAGAATAAATATGTTTTCATTCTGTCAACAAAGATGCATAATAAATACATATAAGTTATGAGAAATTGTACTGGATTTTTTTCTTATTTAAGAAAATAAGCTGGACGTGGTTGGTGCACACCTCCAACTTAGCTCTCAGAAGCTGAGGAACATCTTAAGTTGAGGTTTGAGGTTATCCTGGGCTGCAAAGTGATTCTCTCCCTCAAACAAAACAAAACAAAACAAAACAAAACAAAACAAAACAAAACAAAAACAACCAACCAGCCAGCCAAAAACCTAACAACAACAAAGTAACTCTTCCTAAAGAGGAAAAAAATCCTTAAGTGATAAGGGTTGCTGGAATTAAGATAAATTTTTATTCTTTGTTGGAAAATCAGTAGCTTCTATTTTAACTTCTCAATTGAGGCCAAGTCTAATGAGTCTAATGGCTGCTGTAAACCTCCAGTGGCCTGCTGGGGTTCTTGACCCAGGTTTCCACTGGCGTCAGACCCTCCAAGACCTACAGTGAGGGTCCTTTAAGGTACGTGATCAGCCTCAGCAGCATTTCTACTCTGAACTAATGTCCTGGCTCGCATGTTACTTTCCTTCCAGTTCCAGTGTGGAGCTGAGGTCCAGGGCAACAGGGGAGACTTCCTCCAACTCGGTGCGTTATGCCCATGGAAACAACTCATCACTTACCACACGCTATCACTGCCCTTCTCCAGGGGATTTCCCATGGTGTCGTAGTACACATCCACACTGAGGTTGCTATCTGTGTCGTGAGCTGAGTTGAAGTTGGTGATCACCCGAGAGGGAATCCCAAAGCACCGCAGCACTACAAACCAAAGTCAGTGTGAGGATGCTGTTGACGGTGCCTTAGCACACTCCATTACTGCCACGGACCCATAAAAGGCACACCATACCCAAATTACCTGTGTTGAGGGTCCCAGCAAAGACCCAGCACTGGCCAAATTGGACAGGCCTGAAGCCAGATTTTTTCCAATTCTTGAGGATCTCCACACTACCATTCCAGGTCCTTGGGTCCACGCCACCGGAGTAATTACCGCTCCAGTTCCCGGAAATAACACCGTTGTCGTCATTGCCATTAATCTGTACAGAAACACCCCCACATCCCAAATGAATTAATACCACGTCTTGCCTGTAGGAGAGAGGCACAGAGGTCAGAAAACAAGGTGGGGATGAGGAAACTGTGGGGCCTTAAGTGCACCTGTCTATAATGAAAATTGTAACAAATCACTTAGAGGGAGGGGCTTTTATGAGTTTAGAGGTACTTTGTTTAATGAGCCATGTCTGATTGCTCCTGAATGACATCAGTTCTTGCCTTCAAGATGACATATAGCAGGAGACTCCACAGTTTGTCAGAAGCAAGACAGGACCCAGAAGTCCTGTTTGCAGAAGACAATGGCTGTCTGCTTGTGTGTGTGTGTGTGTGTGTGTGTACCTGTCTTCTAAAATTCATTTTAGAACTTTAACATATAACTTCTCAAAAAAAATGAAATATGGCCCTCCCTCCCTCCTTCCCTCCCTTCCTTCCTTCTTCCATTTGTTCATTTATTATAATGAGTGCAAATGGGATACAGCATTGACAGACATTGAGGACTTGGGAGACCTGAGTTCTATTTTTCCATTTCTTTTACAGGTGTACACAAAGTACTTGTAGACTGAATGATATCAAAGGATGCAATGCTGGGGATCATCAAGTCATCTGTGGAGAAGGGATCAGAGAGAAAGTAAGACTGGCCCGTAGTAGACAGTCTTTGAAGCCAACGACAGGTACCTATTTCTCTCTGTTTTTGGATAGGCCTGGATTTCTCCATAATAAAAGTAATAGAAGAGACCAGGCCTGTATCTATCTCAGTAGCAGGGTACTTGCCTAGCATGTGTGTAGCTGGGTTCAATCTCTAGCAATGTGCATGCTCACACTCATCTTCATACACCGCCAGGTGAGGGAGGAGAAAGAGCTCATAGGTATTCCCTCTCACTTGTCTTCTTGGTGATCTTGGGAGTCAGTTTGTCTCCCTGACCATTGCACCTCACATTCCAAGATAGGCAAAGTACACTGCAGCTTCATCAGAGGTACCCCTACAGCAAGTTTTCAGAGATTAAACTCTGCTATTTATTCCAACTGTACAGTGAGAGGCTAGACTGGGACCTCACAGACTGACTCTTCAGCCTGTCAGATCTGCCCCTTCTCACTGGAGCACCTATGAATGTAGCAAGGCTTATGAAAGAGGACAGCAGACACAGAAGCATCTTGTCCCAGGACGAGCCACCAGCCTTCCCTAGCTGCCAGCCCAGAGGTGAGCTCTCTATCACTTCCAGTGGTACCATGCAAGCTAGGGTGTCCTTGACCAGGGAAGATGTGCAGCTTACCAGCATCAGGGGTCATGAGTGCTGGGGGTAAGGTCACTGATGGCTGAAAGCCAAGTACTTCAAAGCTCTGCATAAGCCATAATTAGCTCCTGGCCTGGCCCAGCCCAAAAGGAGGGTCTGGAGAGAACAGCAGGGAGGCATGTCTGAGGAAACCATCTCTGAGATAGCGTGGATTGGCCCCAGGCTGAGTGAGTCAGCAGCTGAGGAACCAACTGGCTTCAAGGCTGGACTCAACTACTCTATTTGCTGGCAGGAAAGTTGGCTTTTTAAGTGGCCTGTTCTCCAGTTTTACTTGACCTCTGCCTCCATTGACTACCCCTTATCTAAGCAACTCACTTTAGAAGGTTCAGCCCAGTGCTCCCTTACTCCATTTTCTGTCCTGGATATTCAGGGCCTTCCTGGATCTGAAGGTCTTAAGTGTTTCTGGGCCCAGCTCACTTCTTTCCTGCAAGGCTCTGTTCCAGATCCTGTTCTTTTGAAAAGCCCTCCCTAATTAATCTTAGGCATCAGCATGCCCCCCAAAGCCTCTTCAGATTTCTAACAAAGTAACTTGAGCAGCCTGGGAATAGTCCAAAGTGTGCCTAAACCTTGGGTCAACATAAAATGATGTTAAAGCTGTCTCTATGTGGTTATTTAATTTAGGAAAGTTAGAATGAAAGAGCTGACTTTGATTTTTAGCTTCCTTTGGAGACAGGATTCCTCTGTGAAGCTGAGACTGACTAGGTACTTATGATCCTCTGGCCTCCTCAGACTCCCAAGTGCCACCACAGTGATCTTTCAATTTTTAAGCAGGTAGATCCTTTCTGATGGAGACATTCTGTACACACTGAATGCAGAGCCATGGATTCCTCCAGGATTGGTGTGTGTGTGTGTGTGTGTGAATGCACATGCTGTTCTCATGTATAGGTCCGTGGGAATGGAAAGAAGCCCTGACTAGAGAGCTCAAGACACTGTTTGACTCACAAGTACACACTGTGACTAGGTCACATTAGCTCCTTGAGCCTCTTTCTCTGTCTAGAAATGAGTGGGGCTCTCTGCTTTCCTCCTGTCAGGAAACTTGAGGGTTCCATGCTGCTGAGGAGGCCCACATTCCAGTCTCACTGGACACACTCCCCCCTTCCTAGGAGGCCTCATGATGGAGTAGAACTTCTCATCCCCCCTCTCACCCTATCCCTGGTAAACACCAAAAGGGCATGTTCCCATGCCATCTAGAACAGGCCTTGCCATACGGCAGGAAGAGCTTTGGAACCAGCCATGCTTGGGGTCTGGTTCTGCTTTTGCTGCTCGGTCACTACACATGTCAGGCAAGCCCTTTAATTTATAGGAGTTCCATGTTCTCTATTGGCAAAATGGGCAAGGTCATAGCTACCAAACACACGAGACATGAGCTCATCGGTCTGAAGTGCAGTCACATGACAACATGGTAAGTGGTACTTGCTACTGTTTCCTGTTACTTACCATGGCACTTAGCACCCGGCAAACATATTTGGGGTCATTTCTGCGGGCCACATCAGTCACAGGGTCACGACGGAAATTCAGACTCCTATCCAAAATGGCGAGACAGATGCTCAGAATGTCTTCTTCAAACTGTTTATAATGAGACCACATGTTAAGATGAAGGAAATGACCCAGTTTATCGGTTAAATACGGGAACAAGGAGCACAATGGTGAAGACCACAGGACCTGCCCAAGCCCTGTCACTCTGTGGCCATCAGACCTAAGAGTGGCTGAAGAGCAGCCACCACAACTAGCCTTTACCCAGCAAGCTCACCCTCATTCCACATGAAGCAGAACACACTCCACTAACATGAGCAGGACACAGCATGGCACAGTTCACTCTGAGCTTGCTGTGGACTCAGGAACAAGTCAGCCTTTAGCTCTTCTTGCCTTTGTCTTTGCAGTTGTTTCTTTTTCTTCCCTGAATGTTCTTCAAAATGGCTAGCTAGCAGCCTCCTTTCCCTCCTCAGGCTCACATGCTCCTCCCTAAGAAAGGCTTTCACAAACCCTCCCACCCAAAATAGCCCTGCTCCCACTCTAGGGTGTATGATGTACTTTTAGCCTCATCAATTTTTCACTTGTAATTAAGTCAACACATAGACTCAAGTTAAAAACTTGATGCAGTTAGCTACATAATGGAACATAAAATAGCTATGCAGGCACCTGCCCACCTACTTCTGGGTATGTAGGCATTCTGGCTGCCCAAGGTACTTTTTTCTACTGCCTTTATGTATGGCCTGGAAAATGAAAGGTGAAAACTCTCTCCTAAACATTTTCTAAGCTGAGAAAACCAGGGAACTCTCTGGGCTCAGACGGTAATGCAAAAAACAAAGGCTATGGGTTTGAAAAGCCAAGAATATTCAATAATGGAGCTTCACTACAATTTTGTGTGGAATAAAAAACAGAAGCTGCATTATTGTCCTGAGATTCTTTGCTGGATCTTTTAATTATTTGTGTGTTATGGCATCAGAAATATTTCACTTCATCAATTCAGTAATGAGTCCATCTTGCCAACTAGATTGTGACTCCTTTGGAGCAGATTTATCCTTAGTGTTTATCTTAGGGTCTAGAACAGAGTAAATGATCAACAAATGTGCTCCGAATGAATGAACAGATAGAAGGGCAGGAAAATGGGACAATCTGCTAAGAGCCCTGAGCATCTTGTGTATTAGGGAGACAACCCTAGCCTTCTTATGGTCCATTTACCTGTCCAAAGTTCCAGCCAAACATGCCAATTCGATCTGCGCTGCCCACGTAGATGATGCCAGCATCTTCCTCAACATACTCGTATCTTTCAGCATGGTTACTCATAAAGACATCATCCGCTGTTACACACACGCACACACACACGCACACGGAGAAGGAGAGGAAGGGGGTGGGAGAGAGAGAAATAAAAAAAACAGATACCATCTTGAACCAATAAAATCAGTCCTCCCACTCCTGAAGAATAGTCTTGGGGTTAGAGCAAGAGTCATTTTGGGCCCATCCCCCAATCTCCACTGAAGAAAGATGTCTTGGGCTATGACACTTCCAGGTCTCACTGTGGGTACTCGGCCTAGAGAGAGAAGCTAAGCTGACCTAAGAGTCTAAAAACTGGACTCAAGGATGAGGCATTTGCTCCTTCAGATAGAAGGGCACTGCCACATTGTAGACTTTTACTCTTTTATTGTTTCTTATAATTTATCATGCTGTACAGGGTATAAAAAGTCACACAAACCGCTATGGGAGGCCCAGAAGGTAAGGACACAATGTACACTTTATGGGGAAGTGTTTGAGGATGGAGGTGATGGTGTAACTGCCTAGAGGCACACAGCCGGTTAGTGCAGACCTCCTGACTAGTAGCTTTTCTGCTCCTTCCACGGCCCACAGGCTATCTCCAACCAGATCTAAGCCCATAAGGAGCACAGGCTAGCCATCTCTCTTTTCCACACTCATTGTTTCCATCAGGGATGTGTGGGAATGCCATGCTTAGAGACCTACCTTGAAGCCATGGGTTGAAGAGCATTATGAATGTGCCGAGTCTCAGAGAGGAGACCCTGCCTCTGGAGGAGATCTCAAGACTCAGTGTGTACAATCCGATGGGAGCACTGGCAGGACTGGAAATAGCAATGACCAGATTATTGCCATTGTTGGCTTTGAGTGCTGCGCTCCAGCCACCTGTGTTTCTCTCGGAGATAGAAAATACAGCCTTGGTCCTGGCTGACTCAGAGGGTTGGGGACCTGTCGGAGAAACAGAAAATGAAGGGAACAAAGGGAACTGGGTAGGACCTAGAAGAAATCAGGTTCTGATGTCATGGTGGATCCCTCTAGGTCAGTGGTTCTCAACCTGTGGCCCCATGTCACCTCAGACCATCAGAAGACACAGATATTTACATTACGATTCCTAACAGTACAAAGTTACAGTTATGAAGTAGCAGTGATATAATTTTATGGTTGGGGTCACCACAACACGAGAAACTGTGTTAAAGAGCTGAAGCATTAGGAAGGGCGAGAACCACTGATCTAGGTCTTCATTCAGTAAAGCATGTCATCATTGTGCTTGAGGTAACTGGAGGGAACATGCAGGTCACATCCTTCTTGATTTGAAGACCATAAGTCTCATGCTCCCATAGTTTCCCTGAATCAAGACATAGCCCAAAGTCCAATGATCCCTCAAGGGTAGCTTAGTGGGCATGTGTGGGGGGAGGCAGAGTGAGTACCCGTGGAAACGATGAAATTCAGATCCTCTCCAGACGCGAGACTCCGGTTGCCGACTAGTATCATCTCCCAGGGCTGTCCTCTCCGCACGATCAGTTCCTTGCTGGAGAACTTGTCTGTGTGATGTGCCCTTCGATTAGCAGGCATCTGCCAGTTGATGTTTTGGACCTCTAAAGCTGTGAGACAGAAAGTGGACTATGAAGTCTGGAGGGAGAGGAGAGAAGCACGCAGCATACCAAAAAGGCATCCGTGAGTGAGGAGGCAGCAGAGAGCTGAGCGCGTAGAAGGAGTCACAGTAAGACATAAAAGCTTTGATTCTGCATAGCAGAACGGTCGCCACTTGTCCTCATTCATCTTTTCTGTATTCAAATACTCCAACTCACATGACCCAAGATCACGTAAATGTCCTGCCTTTCAGACGGCCAAGCCGCTCCACACACTATTCCCTCTGCTCAGACTCTCTCCATCCATCTCGTGACTTGTCATTAGGCCTTGAGGAGTAGGCTGAACACTCAGGGAAGTATCACTCAGCCATCTAGAAGAACCATGTCATGAGAGACTGGGAAGAGACTGGGAAGACTCTTGGTATGGTGGATGGAGTACTTGTTGTGAAACCCAGAGGACCTTGGTTCAGATCCGTAGCACTTGCATAAGCAGCTGTGTGTGTTGGTGCATAGCTGTAGCCCCGGTCCTAGGGATGGAAACAGGCTGGTCCCCAGGGCTTGCTGACATGGTAATCTAGATGAAACAGCTTGTTCCATGTTCAGGGAAAGACCTTCCCTGGGAAATATGGAAAGCACTGAGGAAGGTATCCCAACATCCACAGACAGCATGTTCCTGAGCATACCACAATGTGCTCCTGGACACATATAAGTTTAAAACAAAAAGGAAATGAAAGAAAACTGGGTGTCATCAGAACTCCAACAGAACTGAGAGGAGGTGATTTCTTTGACCCCGAATGCATCTTTCCACTCTCAAACTAGCCAGTGTTGATGTCTATCTGTTTTACTCCTATATTTACTAAACCCTGGTATTGGCCTTGGGTACCAGAGAGATCAATCACAACCTTAAGCAGCATTGATAGTCACTACTGGCTGAAGCAACTTGCAAGTGCTCCCTGAAAAGTGTTCCCTATGACAAATGTCTCAGAAGCCACCCTCCTCCAGTTCTCAGATGACTGTGGAGTCAGTGGAGCGATACTACATTAGGCTTATGGGAGATGACATAATTTATGAGACAGTTAGCTCAAACCAACCTGTTGAGAAATCATATTTTTTTTGAGTTATAGCTGGGATGTTACATCACTCACTCCCCTGCAAAACAAACTGCCCTCTGTTGTCATGACGAAGTACAGTCTTGATGAGTACATGATGGCACATCCCACTGTCAGAAATCATTCCCATTTGTGTGTGTTGACAGACTGTTCGTGAGGATACATCCTCCTGATCTCTATATTCTGAGGCCTAGCACTCCACTTGACTGATTAGGCACAGAAGTGAATGAAGTAATATGTAAATGAACAAAGAAAAAGCTAACATCAAAAAGTAGCTGTCTTGGGGCCTGCAGAGATGGCTCAATGGTTAAGAGCATCGGCTGTTCTCCCAGAGGACCCAGGTTAGAGTTCCAAAGCTCACGTGAGGGTAAGAACTGTCTGTAACTCCAGTTCTAGGGAATCCTAAGGCTTTCTTTGACTTCTGCAGGCACTAAGCACGGGTGATGTGTAGACATGCATGCAGACAAAACAGTCACATGACCAAAAAATGAAGATAAATAAATACACAAACCTGTTTTAAATACAACTCAAAATGTAGTCTACAAAATGGGGTGAATGTGGGATATTCAAAGTGTGGTGGTGGTGTGGGGGGGCAGGGAGAAAGAGGGAGAGAATGAGACTTATTATTTATAAAGCACTGCTAGAAATTTTGGGAGTAGAAACATGTAAGATGTCTGCTGAGAGTTCAAAGGTCTTTCTCAGTCGGTGAGACAAGAAGAAGCCATAGTGAAAGATGAGAGTGGAAGAATCCAGTTTCGTTCTACTAAAGAAACGTGGGGAGTGCAGACAAGAGAGAAGGGTTTTGCTTTGTTTTGTTTTTTGTAGAGACCAAAAAAGGTTTTACTGAAAATACTTAACCTTGAAATAAAACGTAAACTGGCAGAAAGCTGCATGAAGGTTTATGGTGCTCAGCACACCTAATCACTGGGGAAATGCCAGTCAAAACCACGAGATATTATCTTACTCTGGTAAGAATCACTGCTTCCGAAAATACAAAAGATAAGAAGTAATACAGGCTGTGCCAACAACCCTCTGAACTGTTGGTAAAGTGGAAATGGAAGACAAAAATTGAACTGCCCCATGGTTGAACAATCCCACCATCAGTATGTATTAAAGAAAAGTAAATCAGGAAAACTAAAATCTCTACGTCTGTATTTGTTTTAGCTTTTGTGAGGGGATGGGATAGGATCTTGTTATTTAGTTCAGGCTGATTTGCTAAATATCCCAAGATAATCTCAAACTCATGCCCTTCTTCCCTCTGCTTTCTGGGGACCGAGGTTACAGGCATGTACCACCATGTCTAGCTTATTTTAGCATGACTTACACGAAATATAAACAACCTAAATACAAATCAGTTCATGAAAGGATAAAGAAACTGTGGTATCTCTGCATACAATGAAATGTTACTCAGATATTTAAAAAAAAATGAAATCTCATTCTTTGGAACAAATGTGGGTAGAACCAGAGGACACTACGTTAAGTGGCATAAGCAAGGCACAGATGTAATGTGGTCTTGCTTATTTGTGGAATATGAAAAGGTTGATTTCGTTGATATGGAGGGGCAGATTGGTGCTTACAAGAGTCTGGACACTATGAAGGGACACAGAGACATAAAGTAGGGCCTCACCAGGCAGTGGTAGTGCAATCCTTTGATCCCAGCACTTGGAGGCAGAGGCAGAGTTCCAGATCAGCCTGGTCTACAGGTTCTAGGACAGCAGAAGCTACACAGAAAACCCTGACTGAAAAAAAAAAAAAAGAAAAAACCAAAAATGAGACGATAGAGATAGAGACAGAGACA